TTACATTCAATACAGTTCATTCTTTGACGCAAAGCTTTCTTTAACATACAGTACAGCTTTCTCTTTCTTGCCTGGGTAGTTTGTTTTGCGTATTACAGTTTCCCACGGACTGCTTTCTTCCATCAAGTCTCTGATATTCCTATTAGGCCAATATTCTCACTTAAAACTAGATATTCTAGTTCCTCCATGTTATTTTTAGACTTTCAGTGTTGGAGTAGTAAGTAGCATGTATTCATTTGGTCTGATTGCTTATTTTTCTATGCTGTGTTTAAATGGTATTTTTACGTGCAGATTGAGCTTAACTTGTGTCCTAAATGAGTTTTACCAGCTTCTCACTTAGCTTTTTTCTCAAGGATATAGAGCTTTTATGATTTCACTCCTTTATGATTCATCACCCCAAGCCAGATTTTCTTCTGCACCTATTGGCTTTCTGATATTCTCTAATGTAACCCCTTTCTCTGGTAGCTGTTATATTTTTGAGTCCAGCAGCTTTAGCTGAATCCTATTTTTGGTGTACAGACTTTATCTATTCCACAAGTTTGTCCAGTTCATGATAAATTCAAACCCTCCATCCCTACACCATTTTCTAAATTTCTACATCCCACAGATAGCATGAAAAAGCACTACTGAAACAGCTGCTGAGATAGGTGATGAAGGATATAATTTTTGTGTTTGAGGAGGCCATCTGATTATCATAATTGAAATGATCTGTAGAATAGTAATCTCTGACTGAAAGCAATGTTATATAATGTACCTTTTAAACACTTCTTTACTCAGCCAAAGGCTTAGTAGAGAATGGGAATAAAGTGATTTCTTGTCTCCTAATGGGCTTTGCGGTATCTGAGGTATTTGACAATAGCAGTTGAATAGGTGAGTAATTTAACAGTCGTTATAAGACTGTACCTGTGTTAGGGAAGATTCCTGTCTCTTGAGTACACAGTCTGTGTCTTTTGAGCTTGAGTAGCCCCACTGAAGTCGGTGTGTCCAGCTAACATGGATGTATACGAGTAATTTTGCTGTAGAAGAAGCATTCAGATACAGCAGAGTAAGCATTAAATAAAGGGAAAACAGTTTGTATAAGGGAGATGGATAACACCTAGTGTTAAGCTCTTACTGTTTTCACCAGCTTACCAAGGAAATAGAAGAATTTTCCTCTGTCCTTTTAATCAGTACTAAATTAGGAAGAATGTCACAGTACACAATTAGCCCTTTCTGCATTCAGTTATTTGAAGTGAACACTCCGTGACATACGTTCACAACAATTTTTCCTTGTTACATATGTCCTATATTGCACGTGTGTGCTGATGTTGCAAAATAGCCTACAAAAGCCTTGATAAAACTTTTTATTACACATAGAGAAGAGAAAGTAACCAACAGGTTATCCACTGTAGAATCAGTTATATTCTAAGTGTGCAGTGTAGATACAAGGCCATGTGAGCGTCAGCTGTCATCGGAGAATTCTGTTTTTAAAAAAATTCAGCTATTAAAACTGGAAGTTATGAAAATTTGTAATTAAACACATATTTCATGTTGATTGTTTAGACCATACTGTTTGCTGCTTCAGAAGCCAGAAAGCAAAGCCATTTGAAACCCTCCCCATCTTTATTTATACAGTGATACATTCTGATTCCCTAATTACTAAAGCTAATGGCAGGTCTTTGCAGTGTGTTCAAATCATAGGCAGAAGAGAAGACATTCCCTTAGCAAGCCATATTCCTTTAATCTCACTCATAGCTGAATTTATTAAAAGGCACTGGCAGGGTAACATTCCACTTTTTTGCAAGCCTTTGTGCATGAAAAAGTCTATGTGGGGATTGAGTATATTGTGTATTTGTAATACTTCCTTTTGGATGCAGTATTCGGCTTCTTTTACCCGTTTATTTATTCTGCTTTTTACCGAGCTTTGTGAGCATAACTGTCACGTGATCAGTTTATCCTGCGTGCAGTAATGAGCTTTTAGCAAATACACTGTTTTCCTTCTGACTTACCATGCCTCCCAGTTTCGTTACTGCGAGATAGAAAATTGGATTTAACACTACTGATAGGCAGAGTGAAAGAATGAAATAAAGGAAGCTCGAAGCCTAAGTAACTTGTGCAGAGGGAAGGAAATAGGCAAAAGAGTGTAGTTACCTAGTCAGCTTTGCAAGTCTATTCTATGATGGAGAAATCCCCTACACTTTATTTCCTTACCCAGAAATGAACGCGTAATATCCTGAAGCCGGAAAAGTCAGCAGCAAACTACCGTTTACGTATACAGAGCCTACCAGGCAGGGGCAGGGCTGTGGTGGGGCTGGACCTGGCACCGCTGTGGGGTCACGGGGCAGGGACCACTGGTCCTGAGCTGGGCTGAGATGGGGCTGGGGCTGGGCCGGGGGGAGCCTGGCGGGCAGAGGTGGGCAGAGACAGCAGGGGCTGCTGATGCCCCCGGGGACCTCGCACACGCAAACAATGTGGGCTGCAACCCCGACACTTACATAGGTAATGTTTTAAGTTAAACCTTTCAAAACCATTTGGAACCCCAAATGTTCTTACTCTGTTCTTCAAATGGAATTGTGTTCATGCTGGCTTTTTTGCATACAGTTTAGTTTAAGAATATTTGAGGGTTCAAATAATCACAGACAACAGGTAAAAATTGATATGCTCGTTGATAGGCTCATTGATATGCTAATGCCAGTGAGAGTTGATGTTTCCCAAAGTGAGCACGATGGACAAGTTTAGGAATGAAATTTAAAAAGTTATCTCCACGGTGGAGTAAATATTCATTTTTTTCAACCAAAAGTGTGGCCATGAGCAGATATGTATTTCAGTTTTATTTAAGGGCATGTTTTCCTTAGTTCTTTGCACTTAAATACAGTTTTATTTTATTTATTAACTCTTGAGTACGAAAAAAATATATGAGTTCTCAGACGGCTTTTAAAAGGTCTTTGGAGATTACATAGTAACAAAAAGATAGCCTTGTGGACTTTTCTTCTTATCAGTCTAAAATACTGTTTTACTGAAAACTGTTCTGGGTGGTTTTTGTGTGCAATGTTAGCAAATAATAGGGGTATGGAGCTATGCATTTATAGTCACAATATTTAAAACACATCTGTATGTGCACAGCTGTGTAGGCTTTTAGTACCTCCAGCCCTGCTGTCCTAGAACATCTTGCAGACGCTAAAGGAGTTATACGTACAATAGTCTATGAAATAGCAAAGTACTGAACAAATATGCCATATAATATCAACTTTCAGAGCTCTGAGTTTTGTTTTTCCTTCCCGATTTGTATTGATAATTCAAGTAATGCCAAAGAGATATTTAGCGTGATACATTTGTGAAAAGAACAAGTGAAAGTATGAGAAATCCTTCCTTTTCTGAAGCAGATACATAGTAGATCCCTATCTCATGACTGGCAAGACAATCCCTTAGCTGCAAGACTTTAGGGTGCCTGCTCAGTTCTCTGACTAGCTGGTGGCACATCCCCTCTGCTGTGTAGGAGGCGCAGAAGCCATTAGCTGTCAGTTCCCATTTCACTGAGGTCAGCTGCTTCAGTCGTGGGAACCAGCTGACAGCTGATCAAAGTTGATTTTTTCCCCCCTGTAGGTTCTTAGCAGGATTTCAATTAGTGCCATTAAATGTACCTGTTTCCTTGAGGTTCTGGCAGCTCTGCAATAAATAAATTTGCATTGTATGAAGCAAATTCAGTGCCTCACTGAGCCTAGGGTTCTTCTTCTTTCAGATGGGTGGTTCTGGGGGATATTTGGTGCTTTTTTTTTTTTTTTTCTTTTCTTTTCCTCACTTGATCTCTTTCAGAGCTTTATTTTGAGCATAGCACATAAACATTTGACATTTCTGTTTTCCTCTTTTTTAATTTATTTTTTTAGGAGGAGTTCCATTAGGTGTGAAATTTTATGTCATATCAGTCCATCATCAAGTGGATTTTCACTGCAGCTTATCACACAACCTTTGGATAGATCTTTAGGAATGTAGCAGAAGACCATACTTCTGTCTTCTAGCTAGCTTTCTGCCACCAAATCAATGAGGGTATTATACTCCTGATATGTAAAGGCAGATATTAGATTTTCTTTGATCAGTCCATTGGGTTTAGAAACTCCTGATTAGTGAGATGTCTGTGGTGTTGTAATACCAGTGATTCGCTGAATTAGAGAAGGAATATTCCGTGTTCTGCGCCCACCCCTCTCTGTCAGGGATTAAATAGCCCAGACTGATTTGTTCTGACTTGAGTTATGCCCCGGAACTAAAGTATATACAGGGACTTTCTTCTACCTCTTTGTGCATCCACGTGCCAAAGTACAGCCCAAGCCTCTATCTCTTGCCAGCGGGTGTCCTGCGCTAGTTTGATGAGAGCGTACCCCAAGACGGGGAGGGCATTCCCATGACTTCACTAAAGCCAGAGGAGCACGCACACAGAAAAGCCGCAGTCCCGCTTTCGAAAGGCGAACGCTCTCGGGTGGGTTCCCACGGCAGGAACGCGCCGCCGTGAGGCAGCGCCCACTGCAGCTGGCCCAGCTGTTCTCATCCTTCCCGGGCAGCAGCTCCTTCGCTTGCGCCCGCCACCACCACCACCTTCCTTCCCTGGCAAGCTGGAGGGAAGGCTGCTTTGGCCGGTTGCTATGCCAACGGCGCTCCCTGCGCCTGCAGAAAGCCCAGCGCTGGTTGGTATGGCAACCCTCCGCAGGGCGCTCGGAGATGCCAGGCAGGGGACGGGCACTTTGGAGAAGGCACTTTGGTTGCACTGGAAATGGGAGCTCTCCTGCCAAAGGGCATGAAAGGGCAGAAGATGCCCAGGGAATCATACGTTTATTCTTTTCCTTTGTACCCATCGAGTGGGTTCTTGGGGGCTGAGTATTTCTTTATAGCTATTTATAACTCCACCTCTGTGCGCTGCAGTGAGAGATGAAAAACAAACTCGTGGTGATTTGGTAGAAAAGATACCAAGACAACCTAGATGTATGAAGGGTCCCAGTGAAATCAGTGTAACTGAGATGCTTTAGCATTGCATTTTCTTAACAGAGCAGCATTTTAACCCCAGCCAAAAAAGTGCTGCTGCTAGGGAGGATGTGTGCCATACTTGCAGCCTGTCACTGCGGGAGGGTTCTTGAGTCGTATCAAGGAGACGCCTGAGGCAGGATCTTAAAGGTAAAATGAATTTTTAATATGAAAACAAGTAGATCAAGAAACGTTAGAGGCATTGGTGGGGCAGAGGGAGGATCTGTGTACAAGTGTCTCCTTCACTCAGGCTGCTCATGAACGACATCTCACAGTGGTCCCACAGTGAGAGACTCTAGTCAGGTAATTTTCTTGTGAAAGGCTTTGCTGATCAAGAGGCTTTGGTGATTTTTTTCCATTCACTGACAATTACCTAAGTGGTATATATTTTAGACATGTTGGGCAAATTGAAATGTCAACAAATAAACATAACAGGAAAGTCATCAAACCTTTCAGAAGATTTTGAATGCCCAGAAAAATATGTAATTGGTCATCTCAGGCAGCTGAATAGTACTGCTGGTAAATGCTGACTTCTTAAGGTTGACCTCTCTGAATATGGCATATGTATGTATGAATCTTATTTCTCAGGTCTCTTCTGTATATAAGCAGGCGGAAAGACTTGCAGGTGTGTTGTCAAAGCACAAGATCCATGAGTTTGGCTGTGCAACTCGCTTTAGGCTGATGGGCAAGAGTGTAATTCAGTCATACCAGTGCTTCAAGAATAGCTGCTTATTCTACAGCAGCCTCATCTAATTTGAAGTTATGCGGAAGGCAGGTAACCTTGAAGTTATATGGAGATTAGGGATTGGGTTTTCAATACATCTTTTTATCCACTGAAATAGTGATCTGATGTTCTTTACTAGTTCATCAAAAGTAAATCATCCAAAACCTGATGGAAATAATTACATTTGTCTGCAGGTCAAGAAAACAAGGATGTGAATTTATATCCAAATACAAATCTAAGACAGTAATCTGCATTTCAAGTAGATATAAGGCTGTGCCCCAAAGCACTGGAATAGTTATTTTTTGCATAACTTATTTCCAATATTTGCAAAAATTTCCAATATATTTATTTATTTTGCATTTAAAATTGCTTATAATTAACTACCATATTAACATTATTCCTTCATAATTATTAATTATAATATTCTGTTTATTAGTCATTTTGAAGAAACACAAGTTTTTACAGCTAATGGATAACTTTTAACATCCTTGGTGCATAACACACTAAGAGTGTAAACATTGATAGTCCATTTTAGAGGATTATTGGTCCCGTAGTACTGTTAATTTTATTTTGATGAGCAAACGCTATTTTTAAAATTTTCTTTCCTTTTATTGAGTGCAGGAGAGAAAAGGTAAAAATAGCTAACTCTGTAAAAACAAATTATTGTTTGCTTGTAATATTACAGCATATTAGTATTTATAGTTCATTAGTCCTATAGTTAGTGCATTAGGTACTGTGGAATGGTGTAATATAATACATTTTGATTGTCTGAAATGGATTTGTAGTTAACTTATAGTTGTATTTCCTACATGGTATGTTCAGTCCATGAGGAGAGAATACCATGTAGAAAATGCTTACTACACAGTTGGCACATGTAATGATATTTTTGACTCTATCATTTTTGCTTAGTATGTGCAGAAATCACAGATAATACACATGAAGAAGACAGAGATATCGTGCTCTTTTAAAGTTGTGATATAGACCCCTTTCCCATTTTATCTTGATGATTTCCCAAATATTATTTGCTATTTGTCTTTTGTTTTCTTTTGTTCTTTTTTTTTTTTCCCAGGGAAAACTATGTTTAAAAACCAGCAACAAAACTGCATGTGTGCCTTTCCTTACATTCGTAGCAACACACTCAGAGATGCATCAGAAAAAAGCTCTTGTTGCCTGTGCAGTCAAGCTTTTCCCATTTTGAGAATATTTCTCCTGTGCTCCAGAAGTAGTGTTTGTCCTTCTGACAGGGCTTTGAGGGATTTTATTAGCATTGTAGCCCCGAAGCACCTAATACTGTGAGGAACTGGAGAAGAGGGGTAGGACCAGAGGGACTGTAATGGTATTGTATTAAAAATAAATATGATGATTTATGGAGGTCTTTGCTGCTGAGGGAATTGTCTGCTGCTCTGTGCAGTGGTTAGAATTTCCTGAAGCTGGCAGCTCTGTGTCCTCTTAGGCAGTTATTAGCACCCTGATACAGTAGCTGCAGTGGGATTAATCTCTCCCGGCTTTGGACATCTACCCTCTTGACCTCTCTATCTGAGCTAGTCATCTTAAGCTCCCCATGGAGGAAGGTGGCCCTTGATAAAGCTCCTAGACTACTTAGCTAGGAATGAAAGTGCATTTGCTCATCTTGCCTACTAAATACTTTGTGATTTTTTTCCAGTTCACGTTCAAAGCCATTTTAGCATTTCCTCTGGCATGTAGGAAGAGGGAAGACTTCCTTTGTAGGTACAGAGCCTAGCAAATAAGCTAATCAAATAATGAATACTGACATAGCTGTGGGTTTTAATAAGCTTCGTTGCCAGTGGTGACTTTAGTAGAACTACCCTAAGGAGCTGGCCTTTGCTGTTCATTCTTTTATCACTCCTTGCACAACCAGGCAGGTTCAGCATGGGCCTATTAGGAGAATTTGCCTCTTCTTTTTGCTTTGAGCTTATCAGAAAAAGCGTGATAGTGAGCAAGCATGGTTTGTGTTCATTCTTGCTATCGCATTATTTTCAGAGCAGGTCAGACTGGCAGAGCACAAATACGCAGTGATCCTTCAAGGTGCATGAGAGCATGCACGCTTTCTGGGGCATAAGAGAGCTCTGCGAGATGTCCTGCCTGTGCTGTGTCTTGTTCAAAGTCCAGGGAGTGGGCTTAGGCGGACGTTGCAGTGCATCTGAGTAGTATGTAGGCATTGAAGAAGACACTACTTAAGCATTTTGCTCAGTAGACACTGAGTGAGGAACTGGGAAGAAGCTGGTATTTCACATGTGGTACTGTGCTGTTGTCAAGTGACTGGATGGAGTATCACTACTTACAGTACATGAAAATATAGTCGTATAGTACGCATGTAGAGAAGTATTTTTATTTAAGTTAAGATGAAATAAGAAGGGAAGGATAACTGAGAAACTACTGATGAAGTTTGTACCTTGAGAAGTATTTTGGAAGTTTGTTTTCTAGTCAAGATGCAGAAAATTCCTGATGTTTGTTCGGTGTTGCTGTTTCTGCATACGATTTGTAAACTCCTTTCTGTTTTGTTCCCTGACACAGTAAATTTTAGTTGAGTAAACAAATATAATGACAGAATATTACTGCTTGTATTGTTACATATGTTTCACTTAGCTAGTTAATTACTCCATTCGTTAGCTGTTAGTGTGTATTTTATTTCATGCCAAAGGAGAAAGGAACCTAGCCTAAAGCTCTTTTCTGTTTAAACATGCTGCTTCCATTATATTTTAGTGCTAGCAGGATCCACTTATTTCAATGCAATATAGTGACACCCTATTTCTTTATTTCAGTTTTGATTATTTTAATGTGCATTGTGCATTTCTACGTAATGAACTTTGGTCTATTGCATATGTGTCCGCTGCTTTTATAATCCCCAATTTCTTGACGTTGATGTGCAAAACATTATAAAAGCCAAGCACATAGCAAATTTTAAATGGTAATAGAAACAAGCTTTAATTATGCCAAAACTGAACTGGTGGAGGATATTCATTCCACTGCATCAATGTCAGAAAATTGGTTGCACAGAGCATGAGGAGAGATGTGGTCTTCCTGATGTGGTAATGGGAGCGAGTCATGTGCACTGAGTGTAGCATGTACCTTGTTCACTGATGAGCAGTGACGATTAGTCCTACTGAAGAAAGCTTTCAACAAAAAGATTGGAGCAAGTTCTTCTCAGCAGTCATGTCGGATCTGGATTTTAAAAATGAACTTACACTCAGCCAGTTCCACAAGGGCTCCTTTTCTCCCATCAGTGGGTCCTTTTGTTTTCAAAGGTCTCTTATTACTTTCCTAAAAAGGGAACAGCTTGTCCTTGACACCTATAATGATTTATTTTCTAAGCAATTAAAATTGATTTCTTAAAGCTACAGCAGCTACCTCATTAAAAAGAATGAATCACTAAATAAAAAAGCACAAAGGCTCTGAATGTGAAAGGCATTCTGAAGTTTCATTTGATTTCAAGCAATGGCGTTAAGGGTTGAGAGGAGCACGGGCAGGATCAGTGCCTGAAATTGGGTTGTCTCCACATGAAACCCATTACAGGAATGGACCATTCCCAACAGTCGTACTTAGAATCACTGAGCATCCTTTTCCCAAACAAGCAGCAAGCCTGAGGGGTTTTGTATCACCAGCTTGTAGAAGCAGATGCAAATGCAGGTATCCTGTGGCTTGCACACCTGCTGCTAAATTTTTAAATGTGTTTGGAGATCACATGAATTTCTCAGTGTTTCACAAAGAGTTTTATTGTTTAAAGTACTTGTATAATTTGAAAATCAGACTTTTAATGACCTGTGCTTAACAGCCTCATTTTTTTCACGGTGAAATATGGCAATATTATCAGACCTAAAAGCAATGCTTTCTTTAATTCATTTCCATATGTAAGAAAGTATTATTTTCAGATGTTAACCTATTTTATCTCATGCATTAAAAAATAACTTTTTCTAAAAATGAAAATGTCCTTCCACACTTTGCAAGTTATGAGGGAAAGAAAACATGGCGATATCTCTTTTCTAACAGAAAATTTTACTATAAAATTCATGTGATTTTTTTTCAGTTTTGCTGACACTTAACTTTGAAACGTTCCCATACGTTTTTATACCCTTTCGTAATATCATGACACTAACAAAGGAGGCATATTGCCTAAGACTTTTCAGAGTGTTTCAATGTAGCTTTATTAAGACATGGCCAAGTCAAATTAGTAAATTCTGAAATGAAGGAAAGACTTTTAAAACAGATGCTTAAAGTTAGGTTTCTATATCCATCTTTAGGCTCTTAAGTTAGTTATCAGAGCTCTTAGCAGACAACGTAGACCTTTATTTACACAATTACGAAAACCAAACCTTGACACTTGCAGGACTTGCGCTACAAGTTACTGTTTGTCTAATTCCTGTTTTGCCTGTTGATGAGAAAATCTTTGTGCCACTGCAAGATGCCATCTCACACAAAGGCACACATATAAACAGCATCTTTCCAGCTTACTTTTCAGGTGTGATTTTGAATGCTACTTTAAATTATTTGGAATATTTTTCAGTTCATCTGTCAGTTTTAAAAATGGAAGGATGACAACATTTACCGATTATCTAGTTTGCTATTCCACAAACATATAGTTTCAGGTAATTTTCAGGGGGGTGGCTACATGAAAGAAAAGAAGGAGCAAGACAAAAGATACCAAGAAGAGCTGAATTTCTTACGATTTTGAAATACTGCTTAGACCAGGATGGCTCTTGAATTATTAAAACTATTTAATAACTCTTAGAAATATTGAGTATTTTGATTAAGCATTATTTTTGCAAGAAAATATTAAAAATACATTAAACCAAACCAGCAAAATTAGCTAGCGACAGGAAAAAATGATTATTTTTCTAGTTATGCCACATATGATCGACTGTTGTGATTCTCTTTTTTTCCCTCACCAGGATTATACTTTGACTATGTATTTTCAACAGTACTGGAGAGATAAGAGACTGGCTTATGCTGGCATACCTCTCAACCTCACCCTTGATAATCGAGTGGCAGATCAGCTCTGGGTGCCTGACACTTACTTCTTAAATGACAAGAAATCGTTTGTGCATGGTGTTACTGTGAAGAATCGGATGATTCGCCTTCACCCAGATGGAACGGTGCTTTATGGCCTCAGGTCTGTACCTTTATGATGAAGATTTCATACCCATTGTTATATATTGTTGATATTTGTTTCCTGGTACAAGGTTATTACAAACATTGTGTAGCATATTATGTAACGTTCCCTGTAACTCTGAAAGATGCCCATAGGAAATAAATGACATACTCAGTGTTTCTTAATTTTGCCAGGAGCGTCTTCAGTCAGGTTTTATCTGTTTGTGTAGAGTCACCATATCTGAAAAGCCCAGTGGCGGTAGAAAGCAGAAAGGCAAGCATTAATTGCAAACCTGAAAATTTCATTCAAAGCACAGGCGGTAAGACTGAACGTGGGTGCTTATGTTGTCTTTTGATGTGTCTGTAGTCTGTAAAGAAAAAGAAAATCACAAATAACCCTGGTTAATTGAAAAAAGCCAATTAAAACATGACTGTGTACGCTTCCAGCAGTTCCTTCAAACCTGGACCAGCACTGCAATGTTTTATATTTTAACCCAGAGGTACAAAGTGATATTACACTATCCCACTATCGTACTCTTTACCTATTTTAGCCTTGACCTGTGCTTCCTTTTTTTTTTTTTTCCTCTCATAGCTTTTGTGGTTAGGATTGCCAATAAATCCTTCGCTTAATAAACATTATTACTGTAGCAAAAATCTTAATGGAGACTCAGTAGTACAAAAAGTCCTTCTGTTTGGACAGGCTATTCCATTTGCTTCAGTGGTTCAAATTATATCGACAAAACAAGTCTTTGCCAGTGTAAGCTCCATTTCCGTCATAGGAAGTTTCTTATGTTTTTAAGCACAGATAATACTCAAGACTGCTGCACGTGGACAGTGCAGGACAAGGAAGGCCTAGTATAAAAGTGAATCAGGTCTGAAAAGTGGTATAGATGGGTTATGCTTCTAGTAACATTATTTTACCTGCTTTTGTTTATTATCAGCAGTTCAATTTTTTATGTGACTTGAGTCTTAACTCCTCACCTCTTTAACTCCTATTACATACTGTATATGAGCCATAGTTAGATGAGTCTTTCTAGACAAAATTAAAACAGACTCAGCCTATTATGAAGCCGTGAAGAAGTCCTGTATGTTCAGGAAATGATTTCTTCAGAATTAATTGTTTTTAGCAAACTTTCGTCTTGTGTACTTTGTATCCAATATTGAATGCTGCCGATTTAGGACTCTTTCTGCAGGTACTTAAATATCAAAAATGATGTAAGATCTTTTTGTTTCCTTTACTCTGTCTCAAGAACCATCCCCAGAACCAATGGAAAAAAAAAGTTATGGAAATTAGAACTTTTGTGATCATAACAGTGTACAAAAGTGTGTCACACACTGAAAACATTTAAAGTCTTTCAGGTGAGGATTATTTGTCATAAAATAGTGTATTTAAATAAGTTAGCTTCCTCTTCTGCAAAATGTGAATGTCCACAAGCAGACTGCACTCCACTTCATGTGGCAATCTTTTTCCCATTTCCTTTCTTCTGGACACAAACCATATTCATGGTTAGATTTTGCTGTGTGTGAATGAGCGTAGCTGCTTAATGAAGGATGAAGATTAACCTGTCTACAATTAAATCTTGTCAAAATACGGGATGCTATTATAAGAAGGAAGAATATATCTGTGAACATTAGCTCCCTTGATCTAAAGACCTTGGCTTTGCATTGCTCTGCTGCTATACTAACTTCTTGTGGCTTCTGAATATCCAAACGACACTGGTCTCAAGCCACTCTCTGGAGAAAATGGTTCATGCTATGCTATGGGTTGAGAACCAGAGTCTGAAGTTTTTCATGTGTGCCACAAAACACGGGGTAACTGAGAATAAGCAGGGAAATTTTAGGGAGTAAAACAGATTATAGAATATCTACTGAGCAAGGCAGATCTTCAAGAAATATATAATGAAAGTAATTGCCGGTCTACACTGGCCTTGTGTTCTCTTCTGAACAATTTAGAATTTTTCATAGTTTTTAAAGACTTAACCTTCAGTTATCTTAGATTTATTTCTACTTCAGAGAAAGCAGTTTGCTGCAACAGCAAAAGTCTGTGAAAATGAGGGAATGGGACTGTAGCTTTTTGAAATTCAATCCATTGCTGGGGAATTTTTTGCTTTGGGCATCGTACTGACTTTGTCCTACCTTATTCATAGCAATGTGCAAGGTATATGACTATACAACAGATTTGTTCGTAGTAGAACAAAACAGAGATAATGACATTTATATACTGGGGATCAAAAATAGAGTCTTTCTGACTGCCTGCGTGCTTGCCGTATATAGACCTATTGTTCTCAGGCGCTACAATGTTACATGTTATAAATAAATAGAGTGGAGGAATATATTTTTTTTATCTGAAAGGATTGTTCATGTAGTTATCAGCCATATCTAAATTATGATGGATGTCGGCAAGGTAAGGAGGTTAGTTGTGATTGGTCAGAAATGCAACTAGACTTAGTTCTATTTGTTATTGAATAAATGTATTTCTGCATCAAGGTGAGAAGAGGATCAAATTAGCCATCAGAACTGTGACCCTGTCACAGAGTATTTATATTGCTTAAACTGAATTAAATTGTAAACATATCTTTCTGTCATTTGTTTATGCAGCACCACCTAGCATTTCAGTGATGGGGTCCCTATACAACATATCAATATAAAGTAAGGTGATCAGTCCAGCAATAAAGTAGCAGAAAAAGATAAGAGAAACTATATACAGAGAACAGATACATACAGAGAAGAGAGTCCAGTTCCCCTGGACTGGGGAATTCTAAACAATCAAAAATATTTCTTTTGTGTATTGCTTTCACCGAAAATGCACGTATATCCGTGTACAGCTTTATCTTTGTCTTGCTCTTGTAATTGTTTCTCTGTCACTGCCATGATGATGAGTTCTTGAAACCTTGTCGTCCTGCTGTGCCAGGCAGCATCCCATCCCATAAACCTGTTCTTTTCAGGAGCATGCACAAGCCTGAGCAATTAACATTTGCTTTGTCCAAGTTAAATTTGTTTACTTGGAAGTTCATTCAGAAGGGAACTGCAATAACTTACTGTGAGTAAATGAGGCAAATATATTTCCACTCATATTTATCTATATCTTCTTTTCTCAGTAGACCTCTGTGAAATTCAAGATACCTATTTTGCAGTTGTGTAAGCAGGTCCTTGGGAAAGAATGTGCAGTTTCTGGTACTGGAACTTGTCAAACAGAACCACTGTGGACAGGCTAAACTCAAAACACCTTCCTTAAAAAGTCATAAGGCAATTAATATGTTGAATGCAAGTTGGCAAGTTGCATAATTTTTAATAAATCTGACAGATTAATCATTTATAAATGCATATTTCTGTATAGGTGGCATTTAAAACTAATTGTACAACATAACAGTTGGAATTCCTGGTACCACACTCACGCTTGTATCAACTTAGCTCATTTGTATTCTATTGCAGGATCTTAAATGAGCCCTAGTTCAGTGTAGCTCAGTGTACTGAAACATGAGATAGAAACCTTATAGTAACAACGTCCGAATGTGCCTGATTGCTTTACTTGGAGTACAATTATCAGTTGAGCAGAAGCAAGATCATTTGATTGCATAATCAGTATGGCCTTGTAAAGATGTTAACTGCTACTTTTGTCATTTAAAATGTTTATCAGTGATCACAGATTTAAGGTTAAGTTTTCTCCTCTAAGAACCTAGGCTTAGCTAGAGCTCCTAATGTTAGAGAGACATTCATCTCCATAACTAATAGCCCTGTGTCTAGCACCTTGCTTGAGGGTTCAGAAGGGCACTTGTAAACATTCAGTTTAGAGAAAACCTCCTGCTAAACCACAGAGCAGCTGAGAAATTGCTGTTTGGAAACTACTCCGGCCCACTGGGACATGTGTCAACAGAGGAACCAGAACATCTGCCAGCAGGCAGCTAGAGGACCAGGTAGGAGGGCTGACCTAAAGCATCCTCCTATGATGCGATACGTGGTACCTGAAAAACCTGGAGGCTAACATAGAGGACGTTCAGAGGACAGCTCAGAGTGGACAGCAGTGATGGAGGCATGACCGTGCCATAAGCATAGGGACCATAAGGACAGAGATCAGGCGTATGCCTTTCTCACTGACTGCCAGTAGGAATGCAAATGAGAAGATATGCTGAGTAACAGATCCTTGAGATTTTCCTTCTCCTGGCCTTATCCATTGCCGTTGTGGTCATATAACTAGATCTTCCTGTGCAAAGAAATGATAATATTTTCTTGCAAAAGGACCTTCTGCAGTCCTAATCTATCTTCTATTGTCTTGTGAAAAGGTTCTAATGATCTCACTCCCTTCCTTTGGGTATTGTGTGAAGATATCCACCTGAAGTAACTCACATGCTGAGGATAAGCATTCTTTCATTTCTGTTCTGGGAGAATTAGATAAGGGATTCATAATAACAGCACGATTTTTTTTAGTGTGAACGAATTGAAGAAGGGCACCTAAACAATTTTCTTCTCCTGAATTTCAGATTGGTCTACCAAATTAGGAGACTGTCAGTCAGGAAGGTAAAGGGATTAAGTAGAAAGTTTCGAAACTGAGAAAACACATGGACAAAACCTTAACACTGAGGGTTCCAGCTTCTAGAGGTATATTTAAAGGATTTCTCCTCTTGTGTTATGAGCATAAAGTTTTTCCAGAATGCAGTTTGTTTAGGAATTAACTGCGTATGGGGTCCATGTCCTGTTTATATCAGAAAAAGAGCAGTGAGGAATGGGCCTAGCCAAACACAGAAGATAAGTTAAATGTGAAATTTACCTGCAGACGTTATAAAGAAAATGATACAAAATAATGTTCATACTCTTGATGAAGGCTACGATTCAGCAAAACACTGAAATATACTGAAGATGATTCATGAGCTAGTGTGCGTGGTTATATCTGTCTAAAGGTTAGTACGAATATATAAAGCCATTAATTTTGCAAAAAAGTGCAAATGCTGCATGCAGCTGTTAATATATTTGTTTTCATTGTGTATGTGTATTGTTGGCTCTTACTTTTGACATACAAGGGCTGGGTGAAAAATGTAGACTCATCAACATTGAAATGTTTTGCAAATTCATCTTAATTTTGCTAAGTTGCCTACATCGGAAATAAAAAAAGCGAAATTATCTTCTGACTTTGGGGGTAAATTAAAAATTCAGTATGACTCCTCATTATAAAATCCCCTCATTATTTAATTAAATTTTGGAGAGAAATATACTTGTCTTTGAAACAAAGCATTTTGTTGGACTATTTTTCAACATTGCAGTGTATCTCTTGTTTTCCTACAGATGCCGCAGAACCAAAAAATCAGTTATTCGCAAGCTCGAATCATTTTGAAAAGTCTGTAGCAGACTTTTATCGCTTCACATTTTAAAGTCATATTGTTTAATCTCAGCAAATATTTTTATATATTTACACATGCAGATAGGTCCATTAAACCCCAAAGGGATTGGTCACATAACTGTAAGTTACGGCAAGTTGTTCCACTGAAATCGATGTAACCAGTCTTGTAGTAAGCTACTACTCAATATAAAATTGTGGACCAGGTTCTCAATTATTATAAGCCATTCTTCAAACAGTCCTCACTTTCAAAAAAATACCTGGATTGCTGCATGTATGGTAATCTTGTTTGATGTTTGCATTTCAGAATCACAACCACTGCAGCTTGTATGATGGACTTGAGAAGATATCCATTAGATGAACAGAACTGTACTCTGGAAATAGAAAGCTGTATGTACATAAGAAGATGCATGTAAAACTTAGTTTAGATGCGGGGCAGTTTTCCTTTAATATAGCTTTAGAATAGTTACACTGCTGTCTCTAACCATTAAGTAAATCATGTAAATAGCACCCTTTGGTTTTTTTTTTACTGTTTGCTTATTTGGCACTTTTTAATATATAAGGGATCATCCATTTCTGGTTTGCAAATGTGATATAGAAAAAAGGGTCTAGGACAGAATGAAGCAATTTATTGCTCCAGAGGCAGTGACTGGATGCTTATCTTCAACACAGGAGAATGAATGTTCATATTTTAATCAGATTCACTTGAAAGAGAGCAAACACTGTGGTATAATTTTCTTTCAATGATGTGCTTTATTATGCATGGATGGTCTTGCTGCAGGACCCCCTGGGCACCTTCAGATAGGTTCCATGTATGATTTGGAATTCTGTTCTACACAAAAATAGATTCTCTCTTCAACCTAGTCATATGCTATAACTAGAATATTCAGACGTATGTTTATGCTTCAAGAGCTTCTGCTGCCTTTCTAGTACCAGCTGAAGGTTTTGTGCCTTATACAGAAAATGCTACTACATATTATTATGCTCTTGTGAAAATTATATTCAGCTGGAGTTCTCCGCTGCAGAAGCTAATGGAAATGGTGCCACTCACACTCTTCAGTATGGGTGGAAAATATCTGCCCAGCTATGTTTGTCAGCATTCATAGAATAATCCATCTTTTTCTGACAATTATTGTCAGGAGAGTGCACTTGGTTTTAGTTCTAGATGTGTATGATGTCTTAATTCACACTGTTCTGCGATCTTGCAGGTTGCAATCAGTAATCCCTGGAACTGGTAATGTGGTAACATTTTCTGGCTCATAGGGGCCATTCGTCCTTTGTGGATTTCATGAGAATGATACTGAAAAAGAAGAAAATAGAGTAGTTTGCCTCAAATTTCTGTGCAGATTGTAATGAAACAGCTCTTCAGGAGATCTTCTCAGCATGCTAGCATACCACAGACGTTTGTACCAAAATACCATGCCCCATTCCAGCTGTTCTAATTCTTTCATTGTCTCAAATGACAAACCACATATACTGTGACTGCAGCTCCATTAGGGTCTGCTGTTTCTTCCATCTTATTCTCATGCTTTGTCTGCAGATGGCTATACAACGGATGACATAGAGTTCTACTGGAGAGGTGGAGATAATGCAGTCACTGGCGTAGAAAGAATTGAACTTCCTCAGTTCTCCATTGTGGAATACAGACTAGTGTCAAAGAATGTTGTCTTTGCCACAGGCAAGTATTATCATTTGCCTATTCAGTGCTTAATTTCCTTGTGTGCAACAGTTGCTACTTTATTAATCATTATCATATATAGTCTTAGCACTGTGTTCAGTGTTTGGCTAAAGAAATGACTTACTTCCTAAAGTCTTTATGCAGAAATCTATGAAATAGCCTTTCTTACTGCATTTTTCTGTTTATTTCTGTGTCTGTGAGTGTGTGTGTCTCTGTCATACTTAACCAGGCGCCTAAATATCTAGGATTTAACAAATACGAAGTCATTCACCTCTGAATCATCAGTTTAACCGTAGCCTACAGGGTTACTGATCATACAGAGTATGCTATGGCATACTAGGTCAAAAAGCCACATATTTTTGAACACCTCCCTACAGCTTTTCAGGGCATGTTTGTTTTGTTGTTGTACAATGAATTTAGAATGCCTTTGATTTCTTGGTTTGTACTGATGTTACTAAATAGTAGTGTATGCATAGCCAACACTTTACATCATCGTTGTTGAGATGCTAAAAATTAAATCCCTGGGTTGCCTCCTTCTTGTTCCCTTGAAAAAATGATAAGAAATTCCATTACCTCACAGCATTGGACCTCTTCAGATGACAAAGCACAGCATGAATTTACGTGCTTAATATTAGACACCAGCATATTAAAATGTTGCTCTGTGTGACAAGACCAAAGTAACACAGAAAGTCATTAGCAATTGTGGGCCATTGTTTGGGACCTCCATATTTTCAATCCAAAGCAGACAATGGAAGTGTACTCTTCCTTCTATCCCAGAGCACTAGAACAAACGAAGCACAACTCTGTTACGTTTATAAGCATCACGTCAACCGTTCTTTGGATGCAGCATCTTTTTCAAAGTACATAGAAACACTAGTTATATTCCAGAACAAAATATAAATATTGCTGAGATCAAAATTAATGTGAGGGGTTTTGCCAGGTGCTGCCATCTTTGGCTGTCATTGCAAATGGCAGCTTTTTTTTTTTTAAACTATTTTTAGCAGAAAGTAAAAGAGATATTTTAATCCTATATCTCTTCCTTCTGCAGCTGGTGCCACCTTTGGCAGTCAGGGCCCGCCACAGGACTGGAGGTACTTTTGTGAACAGCTTTTTGGACAGCAATGACAATACAGAGAACTTCATATTTAGGAAGTTTTGACGACAGTCCAAAACCACTTTTTAGTTCAGTATGGAATATTTCAGTAAAGAAATGATTTAGTAATTTAGAGATGAGAGAGTTCTGTTACATTCAGGAAAAAAAGAAATCCAAAGAGCTATGAAACATATGAGAGAGATTGAAAAGCAAATAAAAACTAGAGGTAGACATTTATATGGCTAACAAAATACTCAGAATCCTAACAGTTCCTTCCAATAAATTTTTTGAAGGAATATAACATCTCATGCTTCAGAGTTTAAGACAGCTTGATACTAGGGACTAGGGTGAGGATGAGACTGTCATGAAGAACAGACTACTCCATGTTTCTTGTATCGTTTTCTGAAGTATATAATTTTTTACACTTTTCAAGACAGGAAGCTGCATCTACTGTTGTTTTCGTACAGGATATTAAAAAATTATGAATTTTTTGGACAAATATTCCTGTGCAAGGCAATTATCACATTTATTTCTCAAAACCACACGTCTAGCGCTAAGTCTGAAACATGTTAGCCAATCCGATGGATAAAGCCAGCACAGTCCCTTCACATTTCTTCTCAAGACCCTCCTTTTTTATGTTCCTGACAATTAAGGCCAGTTTCTATATTTTTGTGGAAAATTAGTCGTGTGTGTTTCTTTTTTTTCTGGCCTAGAGGTTATTAGAGTGTCAAGGGAAGATACTGGTTCTTTGAGCACAATATCTTAGTGAAGATTTCAGAGGTTTCAGTACAGCTGCTCTTTGATTGTATTAAACTAAAAGAAGACTTCAGAGTCGTGCCATAAACATCTTTTCGAGTAGCTATTTCTCCTGTCCTCCATGAAGGAGTAGTACTGTATAGTCCTGTGTAACTTATGCAAATGGAAAAATCTGTTCCCATAGTTACTAAGAAGCAACAGTAAGCATATACAAAAAATATAGCTAATGATATAAAGCTGGGAGGGACAGTAAAAATACTGGAGGAACTGCAAGCATATTGAAACCTAACATTGGAGTTTAGAATGATCTTGCCAAACAGATCTGAAAAAAAACCTATAAAAGTCTATGTGGACAAGTAAAGACAACAACTATACAGCTAATTATACCTATCCAAACTCAGGAAGGGAACAACTGGTTGGGCAAGATTTTTGTGTGTAGAGATGTGGGGGTTATTGTTGATCACAGACTGAACATGAGCCAATAAATCTTGTTTGGGAAGCAACAAACATCTTACGACTTGTGCTGCTAAGCTGAGTATTTCTGGTCAGGGGTAGCGTTCTTCAAGAAAGCTGTTTGCCAACAGAAGACAGTCTAGGAAAAAGTAGCAAGAATCAGTGGAAGTCTAGCAAATATAATCCATGAGGAAAAAGAGAACCATGTATGATTGTGTAGGGAATAACACAGCATGAAACTGTTCCTTTTATCTATGATGGATAGAACAGAAAGTAATTGTTGTGAAATTGCGGTGAAAAAAAGTCTGTGGTTTGACTATCCGAATGGCAGTTGAAGGCCATACAGGCTACCATAAGACGTCTCAAACGGCACTAGCTGCCTATGTGTCAGTAGCTGAATCAAGCCCCTAGTCAAATCAGTGCTGTCTGTGGAGTCTAAAGCACTATTCAGCTCTTAAACACCTCTATTTTATCAACTGAATATCTCCTAGGACACTATTCAGGTGCCTTTACATAGGTGTCTGGTACCACCAGAGATTCTGTGGAGATCCTGCTTAGCAATTAGGCAGCCGTTCCAAAGAGTCTGAGAGTCCTGTGTCCATTGCGTCAGTATTAACTACTTCATTAGTATTATTTAAGTCCTACTCTTCAGTATCCTAGGCATCTCAAAAGGCATTAGACACTTTGTATGTAGGTAATTGAATCACACCCTTAGAATCAGCTAGCTGTAAATCTAGATCTCCATGGTTTATTCTGAGAGCATAGACACCTTCCATATGTAAATACCTCTATGCAAAACATCTGAAATAATTAAATTCCTAAGTTTGTGAGCTGAATCCCCCTCCTAACTGATTGTTATACAGGAACGTTAAGAAACTGAGCAGCAATGGGGAAGTATAAGACACAGCCTAAAAACTTCAAGATCCATAGCAGTTAGAGCCAGATTAGCAACCTATTTGTAAGAGGAAGGTAGTCCTAAAAAGTTTGAAAATAAATTATTTAGCATATTCTGAAAGATCAGTCTATAGAGTACATTTCCAATTAGCTGAAGAACTTTCCCAGAAGAACAGATTAATATAAGAATTCTGTAGCTGACCAACTCTGCTATCTTGGTTCATACTTGGATAAAACAGCAAGAGACTAATTTAGCCTTGGAGCTAGATATTTCAGCTTGCTAGCTTTTAACGAAATTGAAACAGAAACAAGTAATTATTTTTTACCAAGTGCTTGAATATATGAAAAAGGAATATTTTGAGCTCAGTTATTGATTAAGTATTTGTTTTCAAGTCTGCATTCTCAATCCTGTGGTTAGATTCAGATATTGAAGGCCAAATTCTATTATTCCTGTAGTATTTAGATTATTCCATAGACATCCACGTGTTATATGATGTGGGAGGAAGGGTAACAAATCTGGTCTTTGGATAGCACCACTGTTCTTTAGGCAAAAAGCAAATTTTGATGGAATGGTGGCAACTAGAATTTTAATCTCTAAAGGTACAGAGCTTTAATGGACAAATCATTATCCAAGCATAGTAAGGCAAGTAACAGTGTAATTGTTGAGCTCACCAAGAAATCCATTTTTGTTAAAGAAATTCCACATGATGATTCCTTCTTAGGTAAATAAAGATCTGGGCTTACCGTCTTTGTTCCATGCAGGTGAAGGCCTATCCTGTTCACTTAGCTTTAGTCATCCATATAAGGCGGGGAAATAAGCTGCCTTCACAGGAGGAGCTTCTTTTGGGTCCCTTTTCTATAGAGCGCTGTGTTTGCTGGAAATGAGATAGGACAGCAGGGATGGCAGGCTGGAGGCAGGACCCATAAACCATCTGTAAAGGCATAAGAGTAATACAGATGAAAGTAATACAAACTTCCATAGTCTCAGGGACAGCTACATAGCAGAAGACCCTGGCAGCATGGTATTTGTGCTGTTTGGAAGCGGCAGGAGGTAGAACTGTCTGAAAAAACAAGGCAACCAGTTCGTGTTTCAGTTTCAGGCTGAACTATGCAAAGACCAAATTATTTTGAAATTTTCTGAGAACCAGACTTCCCAATTGGAGCTTGAAAAGTCACCATGAAACAGGATGATGTTCTTTTTACCTGTGTGAAACTGAGCAATGTGTCAACTCCAGTGAGTAGAAGTGATGCTGACAAGACTGGCAGTTAGTCTGCTTGGAAGCCACAGACCCTCAGAACCTACCCTGAGACGTACGGGGCTGGCATTTGTCTTGCTCTAACTTAAGATGAATATTGTTTCAGTGTCTGCATGGGAGCTAGGTGCCTAAGCTCCTATTACAGATGATGGGGAATCTAGTCAATACTGTCAGTGGAGTCTGGAGAGGTATATTTACCAGCCCCATGCTGGTGTCTGAGATCTCAAACAGCATCTCAAAAGGCACGGTGCACCTTCAGATTTGCAACTGAATCCCTCTGTTACAGTTCTGAGTCCAAACTCTACAGCAGGAAGACAGAGAGCACGGACAACCCTGGCCCTAAGTGTGGTTCTTAGCATTTTCTTTTCTAGATTCTGGTCAAAAACTTGAGACTTCAAACAACTTCATGTTGAGCTCTCTGGCCTTGATGCAATCTGTCTGGAGAGTCTACCTCTAAGGCTTTAGTCGCACTAGTGTCAGTAATTACCTTACCTCATTAGACAGCGTGTTGCAGATGAAAAATTGAAGAAAAATATCGTAAGTCTGTTTGCTCTGTTATGAAGTTTCTCAGTTCAGGATTTCATTACTAAACATTACTGACACACCTAACGCATTACTTCTCTGCACTCTTGACACTTCTCCTCCATCCACACCTTTTTTCCTGCTTTGCTAGTAGCAAAATGATCTCTTTCTTCTCTCTCTGAGATTCCCCAGTGCTTCCAGGGTCCTTGGTACTGGAACAGCCCAAGAAGAGGCATTGATTCTGTGATCAGTCCATTGAACTTGGCATATACTTGAATGAATCATTTAGACTCTTGAAGAAGCAGTATTTTATGGGAGACTTTCCAGTTTTCACCTCTATCAATCAATGGTATTCCCCAGACACCCAGACCTGGATAGGGCTTTTGAATGGAAGAGATTTTTAGAGAATCCTTTCCATTGGTGATATATTTTATGAAGTAATTTTCCTCAACAGAGCTTTATACAGATTTCTGCCTGATGCACTACCCTTCTTACTGCAAAAAGGTGATCATGCCTGCTAAATTTTTAGTGTATATCATGGCGGGAGATGTTCCTATTTCATTTACACGGTCTGCACACACAAGGTGGTAGAAACTGTTTCATGAGGAAACTCAATGAAAAAGTTAAGCTCTGTTAGCAAAAAAAGCTGACATGATTTCAAGGAGAGTTTGTCCTTGAAAATGAAACATTTCATTGGAAAATGAAGGTGTTAAGCTAACTAAAGTCTGAATGATTCTTTGCTGAGAATGTATGAGAATTATGTGTTGTATGAGAATTAGGTATTGTATGAGAATTATGTATGCTTTAGACAATAGAAAACTTTGGTCTGGTTTCCGTAATGAAGTAAATTGCTCTTGCTCTACCAATATTCATCTGTTTGTGAAACTAGAAGACAATTCCATTTCATTCTGGAAAAAATATTATTGATTGAAATAATAACAACAACAAAATGCATCTACCAGATATTTCCTTTGTAGTCATAGTTTTTCCAAGATGTGTTTGATAAAACAATTAAGTGTTGTTGCATAAGGTTTGATACTCCCAGGATGCTCCTGCTATCTGAATACAGTATAGGATTTTTCCTGTCACATGACCCAAAGTATACCTAACTATCAGGAAAGTGATAAAGAGAAATCTGCAGTTTTCTATTCCTTCTTTCCCTTTCTCTCTAAGGAAATCCATCTTTCTTGCGTACACAGACATATGAAATTTCTTATGCTCATATGCAAAAATATAAATGTAATAATTTTACATGAGGTTTGTAAATTTTTAATTGTTCCTAGATCTAATCTTTCACACCTTATACGTGTTTGTATTAGAATGGGCAGGAAATGATCTACTACCTAGAATGGGAGCCTTGTGTTCAGAAATGATTTTTAGAATATTGACTGTAAAGAGAGCTTTTTGAAGAGCTGTTAGAAGTATCATATCTAAAACTAGTAATGCAAACACTGAAATCAAGGTGCTAATGTTTATGTGAAAGACTAACTTTTTCTGGTACAACTGTAAAACCAAGCATACCCAGATTTAATCCTCATTTTTTTGCTAAAACAGTTCTGGAGGAAAAATTTCGTCCAGCTCTAATTGATATTATGAACTTTGGATCAGGTCTGAAGGCTTTTTCTCACTGTGATTCAGTACAATTTACTTTTGACACTTCAGGTAGCATGTTTCTCATAGTTCAGATGTAATTAAAAAGGGCTATGTCGAGAATAACTGTTCTATATAAATACCAAACAATGCACATTTAAGATTTGGAACTCTGCTGATACTCTCAATAAAAATACTATATATAAAAATTGTGTATTTGGATAAGCATTTTACATGGAGATCTAGGCATCTGTTTTTAAAAATTAACCGGTGCTCACCCATCTGTTCAATAATTTAGAATGACTTACTCTCTCTATTCTTCCCAAATTCAAATTGCTTGCATAGCACTATATTCTCTGCAAGGTTTCTTTTAAGACCAACCAGTAACACAGAGAAGGCATTTTCCCTACTGTTCTGCAGATGTCATAATACCCAATAAAATATGCATGCTTTAATTTCTACGGAAACTGAAGACAAATATCTGCAAATGTCTTTTCTTTGGTATAAATAACACTGATTTTCCCTCCCTTTCCCTAGGTGCCTATCCAAGACTCTCACTGAGCTTCAGGTTGAAGAGAAATATTGGATACTTTATTCTTCAAACCTACATGCCCTCCATACTGATTACTATTTTATCATGGGTGTCATTCTGGATCAATTATGATGCATCAGCAGCAAGAGTTGCCCTTGGTATGTGATAAGGATGAGTGGGACATTAAAATGTCAGACTGAATGTAGCCTTTGGAGGTTGTTAAGCACTGCAACATGATGTCAGTGTTTTGATATTCCAAAATCATTTACGTCAAAATCATGTCATTCATTATTGCCTCAGAAGTGATGAGTTCTCCCTGCATGCACAAATGTAGCTACCACTAAATCTCAGACATAAGCTGCTCTTACAGGTTCCGGCCTTGTTCTCGTCAAATGTATTGCTGTTGTCAGTGAGGGGACCAGCTCCAGAATCATACTCCAAGGGTTCGAGCGTGAGCTTTTAGTCCAGCTCAGTGTGGGAAGAAAAATGTGGCTCTAAGCCTCCACCTGGGGTCCTGGCTCAAGTTATCGGGGCTGCTTTAACTTACAGTGGCAGGAAAAGACCTCAAGGTCCTCCGTGCTAGTTGGGAATATCAAAACACAGGGACACATGAGCTGCAGACCATGACATCCCATCTCACTCTCAGAAAGCCCAGTATGCTGAGTGCACTTTTAGGACAGCTTTAAGTGTCTTTTACCCCATGGCAGAAAAACATGGATTTAACACAAATTGGTGGCCAATCCCAGGCTTTTTCAGGTCAAAGTTTCCTTTAGATAAGGGAAGGTAGCTTCAGAATATTTCATAGGAAATATTTCATCTGTTACAGAAGTATACACAGCTGTAGACGAGGAAGATTAAATGGATCCATAGATAATCCTTATGATTACTGCTGCCTCTCATCTAATCCCAAACCCCATCTCCAGCTGGTGTTTCCCGGTAGGACATACCTTCCCACCTGCAACTTGACAATAAACCCGTGCTATATAACATCTGACTATACTCCCTTCTCTTTTAAAAAGAGAAGCATATTGCCTAGTTCTGTTACTTTTCTCATACGTACCACAGCAAACAAAGACTCCAAGCCATGCCTGTACATTTACCCGTCTCTATACCCCTTACCTTCATAGATCCCACATATCAAAGCAGGCTGGGCAACTACAATTATACCTATGTGCAATATCATATTACATCCTGGTATCTGAACTGGGCTACTGAAAATACTGCAGATTAATTGCAGTTATTGTACAGTAATTTTGCAGACACTGTGGATTAGCTGGTGCATGTGCGCATGGTACAAGTCGCACAATATGGCATTACCACACAACAGCTAACGCTTGTTCA